ACAGGAAAACAGGTCACTTCAACACTTTTTCCAGATTGTAAATACATTGGATTATGTCAGTGGGGCTGCAAATGTCATTTATTATTTATCTCTCTATGGTATGTTTGTAAATTAGGCAAACTCTAAATCAGTCGTTTAAATTCAATTGAAGCAAAAAACAAAAACATAAAAAGCCCTAAGCAGTAAAAGGTCAAGTCTATGAGAATGGTGTTAGAAGAGATGCTTTGTCCTCAGGAAAAGTTACTTAAATGTCAAATATTCATTCATTCATTCATTCATTCATTCATTCATTCATTCATTTTTGTACAACTGACCATAAATTGTGGGTGTCCATGTTTTGTTGTTCATATCTCTCTTTTTTTGTTTAAAGATCAGTCTCATAAAGTTCTTCACCGTAGACAGCTGCTTCTGCTGTCACTCATCCTTAATCTGAGCACAGTGGAGCAGAAGCTCTTCTTCAGTGTGTTATCTACTGAGGCCACCATTTAAGTACAGGTGCTTTAATAATTTGGTACCATTTTACAATAAGGCTCCTCTTATAAATAGTTTATATACAGGTCCTTCTAAAAAAATTAGCATATTGTGATAAAGGTCATTATTTTCCATAATGTAATGATAAAAATGAAACTTTCATATATTTCAGATTCATTGCACACCAACTGAAATATTTCAGGTCTTTAATTGTTTTAATACTGATGATTATAGCATACAGCTCATGAAAACCCAAAATGCCTGTCCAAAAAATTAGCATATTTCATCCCACCAATGAAAGACAAGTGTTTTTAATACAAAAAACGCCAACCTTCAAATAATCATGTTCAGTTTTGCACTCAATACTTGGTCGGGAATCCTTTTGCATGAATGACTGCTTCAATGCGCCGTGGCATGGAGGCAATCAGCCTGTGGCACTGCTGAGGTGTTATGGAGGCCCAGGATGCTTCGATAGCGGCCTTAAGCTCATCTTGAGTGTTGGGTCTTGCATCTCTCAACTTTCTCTTCACAATATCCCACAGGTTCTCTATGGGGTTCAGGTCAGGAGAGTTGGCAGGCCAATTGAGCACAGTAATACCATGGTCAGTAAACCATTTACCAGTGGTTTTGGCACTGTGAGCAGGTGCCAGGTCGTGCTGAAAAATGAAATCTTCATCTCCATAAAGCTTTTCAGCAGATGGAAGCATGAAGTGCTCCAAAATCTCCTGATAGCTAGCTGCATTGACCCTGCGCTTGATAAAACACAGTGGACCAACACCAGCAGATGACACAACACCCCAGTGACTGTGGAAACTTGACACTGGACCTCAAGCAATGTGAATTATGTGTCTCATCTCTTCCTCCAGACTCTGGGACCTTGATTTCCAAAGGAAATGCAAAATTTACTGTAATCAGAGAACATAACTTTGGACCACTCAGCAGCAGTCCCAGGTGAGATGCTTCTGACACAGTCTCTTGTTCAAAAGTGGCTTGACCTGGGGAATGTGGCACCTGTAGCCCATTTCCTGCACACGCCTGTGCACGGTGGCTCTGGATGTTTCTACTCCAGGCTCAGTCCACTGCTTCCGCAGGTCCCCCAAGGTCTGGAATCGGCCCTTCTCCACAATCCTCCTCAGGGTCCGGTCACCTCTTCTCGTTGTGCAGCGTTTTCTGCCACACTTTTCCCTTCCCACAGACTTCCCACTGAGGTGCCTTGATACAGCACTCTGGGAACAGCCTGTTCGTTCAGCAATTTCTTTCTGTGTCTTACCCTCTTGCTTGAGGGTGTCAATGATGGTCTTCTGGACAGCAGTCAGGTCGGCAGTCTTACCCATGATTGCGGTTTTGAGTAATGAACAAGGCTGGGAGTTTTTAAAAGCCTCAGGAATCTTTTGCAGGTGTTTAGAGTTACGTTGTTGATTCAGATGGTTAGGTTAATAGCTTGTTTAGAGAAACTTTTCATGATATGCTAATTTTTTGGGACAGGCATTTTGGGTTTTCATGAGCTGTATGCCATAATCATCAGTATTAAAACAATTAAAGACCTGAAATATTTCAGTTGGTGTGCAATGAATCTGAAATATATAAAAGTTTCATTTTTATCATTACATTATGGGAAATAATGACCTTTATCACAATATGCTAATTTTTTTGAGAAGGACCTGTATACATTCTTACTTCCTCTATAAACACTTTATACATTATTAATAACTGCTTTTTATTCATTAATTAATGGGGACAGAGACAAAACTGACCAGCTTTTTTGCCAAATAATGAGCCAAATCTGTTCACCTATATATTTTCTTTAGCAAATAATATTGTATTTTATCACTGCATTATAAGTATCTAAAACTAATATTATATTCTCAAAACATGAGGTTTACAAATGCTTATTGTGCTCACAAGGTAGTAACTTAGTCTGAAATGTTTAATATAACAACTCTACATGAAATAAATACTGTAGGTGACCAGATGTGACTCACTATTTGGCAAGAACCTGGTCAGTTTAGTCTCTTCCTCACCCTTAATTAATGCATAATAAACAATTATTAATGATGTATAAAGTGTTTATGGAGGAATTAATAATGTATCTATAAAGTATTTATTAGCCATCTACAAGGGGAGCCTTGTTGTAAAGTGGTATCAATGATTTTAAATATATTCACAGTCTTGTCAACAAATAAAAGCACATTCCTTGCATACAGAATGCCCAGCTGTTTGAATCACAGCTTTATGCTCAGATTTAGTGCTTATCACTAAAATAAAGTAGTAAATGTGCCAGGTAAAAAAAGGAAAAATGGTTTATCTTATATATAAAAAGGCCAGGTGTAGTCTTTTGTTGTTGTTGTTGTTATGAGAGAATTAATTCTTCTAATGACAGGGCATCAAACATCATTATTATTCATAGTGTCATGGGGGAAAGAAAGTCTACCTTCTTTACATTTGAAAGGTTTCTGGTCTTTACCAGGTTATAAAATGGTCCAAATCTTAGTTGTGCTATTAGTTTAGTTTGATCATTTTATTTCAAGCTTAAAAATTATATATGTATATATATATATATATATATATATATCCTCGAGTCCTTGCATCCCATTTAGCCTCGAGTCCTCGAGGCTCAATGGGATTTACCTGTCTAAATAAAGGTTGAATGAATGAATCTCTGCATGATAGGGCAACATGTTTGGAACTAAACCCCTCCCGAAAAGACTTGAACCAGTGGTAATTTAAATGGTAAATGGACTGTACTCATATAGCACCTTTCCATCTAATCAAGATGCTCAAAGGCTTTACAACACAATCTGTTCCCTCTTACCTCCACACACATTCATACAGCACTCTACTAGATCTCTACAAAACGAATCTAACAAATCATTCTAAAAAGACTACCTGTAATCACTGCTTTAGATCACATTTATACACTGATGGGACACACATCAGAGGCAATGAGGGGTTAAATTTCTTGCCCAGAATTACTGCAACATGTGACTGCTAGTGGAATCGAACCCCCAACTCTCCCAATGGAGGACAACTGCTCTAACCACTCAGCCAGACAGATGAACCTTAAGTAAACATGTTTGGTCATAATGTACAGCAGCTATCCATCCATTATCTTCTGCTTACTCCGAAGTCAGGTCTCGGGGGCAGCAGCTTAAACAGGGAGGTCCAGACATCTCTGTCCACAGCCCCCTCTTCCAGATCTTCTGGAGGGACTCCAAGGAGTTCCCAGACAAACCGAGAGATGTAGTCTCTCCAGCGTGTCCTGGGTCTTCCCCGGGGTCTCCTCCCAGTTGGACATGCCTGAAGCACCTCACTAGGGAGGCGCCCAGGAAGCATCCTTACCAGATGCCTGAACCACCTCAACTGGCTCCTCTCGATGTGGAGGAGCAGCAGTTCTACTCAGAGTCTCTCATGATAACTGAACTTATCACCCTGTCTCTAAGGGAGAGCCCATCTACCCTGCAGAGGAAACTCATTTCAACCTCCTGTATCCACGATCTCATTCTTCCAGACACTGCCTAGAGTTCGTGGCCATAGATGAGGGTAGGAACGTAGACTGACTGGTAAACAGAGAACCTCACCTTATAGTTCAGTGCAGCTAAGTCCAGCAGCATGTGTGGAAAAACCAAATACAACCATCTATGGACATTGCTTCAAGTGTTGAGAGCGATTGCTGTGAAAGGTGGTTCTACAAGCTGCTGATTCATGGGGTAAACTTAATTTTACACACAAAGTTTTTGTGTTTTATTTTTGTACCTAATATAAGACCAGCATGAAGGAATCAGTTTTTTTTTAATTATTAATAGGTTTGTCTGTTGGTTTGTTTTTTGTGTGCAAGTTTGGATTTAGATCATGTTAGAAAGCGGTAAAGACGAGAATACTGTATGTTAGAAGATGGACTTTCATGTCCTCATGACTGTATTATTGTGAAACATTTCTTTATTTCCATGAAGCTATGTAACTGAACTCAGTTGCACTTACACAATCCAGTGGCCAAAAAAAACAAAAAAAAAAAAAACACTTTTAAATGATGATTAGCCATTGAAGAATCTACTATCTCACTTGTTAATAAATTTAATCAGTTCTGGAGGAAGGTAAGGAGCTTCTACTTTGATTTGTTCAAATTGTTTAAATCTTTAACATAATCTAAACTCTTGCTAATTAAATGTTTGAAACTCAGCTTCATTGAATTTGCAATGAGGATCTCTTTGTGCCACAAAACATAAAACCTTCTTTGTTGACTGGGAAGAATAGAGTTGGCCCCAAACCAAAACTAAGGACTTGTTGGCTGATGATTAAAGCACTTTGGGGTAAACTGTGCAGTCTTCTTGCTGTGTTAGTGCTCAGGCTTGATGCTTTGTTCATGTAACAAAAATACAGACTACACCCAGCCTTCTCTGGACTGAACCGAGGTCAGAATGGGAACAAACAGGCAAACAGATGGTTTCTATGGTGAAAATGTGGGAGAAAAGGGGGAAATCCACTGATAAAAGGATGAAAAGACAATGTGATTGTAATAAGTGTTGTACAGTGCCTTTTCAGCAACACTGTTGGACAGAGAGGAGAAACATCAAGTATTAGTCAGAGAAAACAAAACCATGAACAACACAAACAACAGATGGAGTGGCACAAATGTAAATAGACACAGAAAGTCAAGAAAAGAGAATCATGACTTTAGAAATTACACCTTAATAAAGTGCATGGCAGACAGAAATGATCACAGTGTGTGTGCACAACCTCCTCATCGCTCTCTGGCTCCACTGCTTTCTTCTCTTTCTTCTTTTTCTTCTCATCTTCTTTCTTCTTCTTGTCTTTATCAGGCAAGAGGTCATCCAGCCATGCTAAGTCGTGCTGGGAAAACATCAGATCCAGTAGTTTTCGTACAACCATCAGGCCCAGAATCTGCACAAAGTGGAAAAAGACAATTATCAACAGATGAAGCCATTTGCTTCAGCTTTTATATTTTCTGACATTAAAAGGTTTCCACACCATGAAGTCAGCCCAAAGACCCTGTAACAAAGGAGGGTACTCCACAGGCCAGAAACATTTTGAAAGTTTGTACTTTCATTTCGGGAGCCTCATGGTAGACTGAGGAAACTCAGAGTGGGAGCAGTGTTTCAGTGGGTCAAACCTCAGACTCTAAAAACATGTTTTTTTTGTCTTAACCCTGGAGCTGTGGCCTGCAGCCAGCAGGTCATTTTTGTTAAAATTTTTTTGTATGTATTTTTTTGTTTATTTGTTTGTTTGTTCTTTTGTAGTGATTTTGGCATGGTGTGACCAGTAGTCCAGTTTTAATGCCTTTTTTTATAATAGGTGTGGGTTTTTTTTTTTTTTTTTTGGGGGGGGGGGGGGGGGGGGTCCATGCTCTCTTGCTGTTACTTCCTGTTTTCTGAATGAATGAAACTGAGCATTATCCTCATTGCAGAGACATCTTTATACCTACAAACATTCACTGTCCAAATCCCTCAGCAAAGGGGAACATTGGCCTATCGCTTGTTTGAATTGTTTTTTGTTTATAGGAGTAATTAAGTGACCCTTCGACCTTTGAATGTGTAGCTAAAATCAAACAGAAAATATTACTGAGCAACAGTATTAAGGTATAGATTTATAAAAAGAAAAGTGGCATGCTGCAATTTAAAATACATTTTAAAGATTTGGCCATAACAATAGTCACCAGAGGATATGTTGGAGGAATTGGGAAGTTTTATAATAAATAAATAAAAATGGCTACATTTACAAGTATAGTTTACAAATAAATATATGCATAAATGTACAAGTATGGGGCAGCACGGTGGTGAAGTTGGTTGAGCTGCTGCCTCTCAGCGAGCAGGTTGCCCTGGTTCAAATCCCAGCCGGGGGCCTTTCTGGGTGGAGTTTACATGTTCTCTCTGTGCATGCGTGGGTTTTCTCCGGGTACTCCGGTTTCCTCCCACAGACCAAAAACATGCATGTTAGACTGATTGGTAACTCTAAATTGTCCCTAGGTGAGAGTGAGAGAGTGAATGGTTGTTTGTCTTGTTTGCCTCTTTGTCCCTGTGATGGACTGGAGACATGTCCAGGGTGTTCCCTGCCTCCCGCACAGTGACTGCTAGACATGGGAACCAGTGACCCCCACGACCCAAAAAAGAAAAAGCAGGTAAAGATAATGGATGGATATACAAGTAATGTCCTAAATCAGTCCTTTTTTTAATGGCAACTCTCAAAATGTCAGTTTGTAAGAAATCTACTTCAATAAATAGTTTATAGTTTTGTGTAGGATTTAAAACTAGCTTTAAGTTTCCTTTAATATTTATATTTAATACCTTTTTAAATGAGGTAAAACAATAAGGTAAAATATTATTTAGCATACAGCTAAACTGTCATTGACAAATTGCTTCCACATCAGGCAGTGTAGTTTTGAGTGTTTCCATTTATTCAGTTTTATGTTAAAGGCAGTAACATCAGGACATAACCCACATACCATCACTGGGAAGATGATGGCCAGGAATGTTGACTTGAGGATCCAGAGGACGGCCAGACAGATGATCTGAACGACGGTGAAAAGATGGACGCGTCTCAGCGGAACGTGACGCAGGAAGGAGAAGTCTGGCTGGTGTTTGGGTGGCATCAGAAACAACTTGATACGTTCCCAGAACTGGAACAGGAAGAAGGAAGCTGTTGGTTGTTCTTTTTTTCCTTTCTTTTCTTTAAATAACACTATTCCCAACCACATATTTTCTCTTTAACTGACCCATTACAGCATTTTTCAATATTTTTTAATGCTTTAATGCTTTTAATGATTTTTGTAATAAAGAAAAATTCTGAAATACTTTAGGTTTAAAATCAATTTGACTAAACTTGGAGTCATTATTTGACGTGAGGGATTTAAAGGAGAGTGGTAGAATCCCAATGCATACATTTTGATCTAAAACTGTTAAATCCTGCAGCCACAACACACTCCAACTGATTCAGATTATCAATTTTATCTAAACTCTAAACTCAAAATGATATAGAAACATATAATATAGAAACTTTTGGTCCGAGAGAACTTTGCCATTTGGGGGAAAAGTCACTTGAAGAACCTGTGTGCGTTATCTGAGTGCTTTTTAATCCACTTTAATGTTTCAACATTTATATGTAGTCTTTTAGTTTTTCTTTGCATATCCACCATTACACAATGCATTTGAGCTTTGAGTTAAATCCTTTTCCAAAATAAATGCCCCCCATGTCCCTTGGAGTCATGTGTTAATAATGTCTGTGGCATACCTGGATGCCACTCAGTGATGCCACTCCCATGTAGAGGAACACTCCATAGAGAACCGGCATGGGGATGTACTGAGGTAAACAGAATGGCAATCAAAAGACAAATGTAAAAAAACAAGTGATGCACCAGAAAAGGGAAGAATGTGTAAAATCTGGATGCTGACCTGAAGGACTGGAGCGAGGAACACTGAAAGTCCAGTCAGCACGAACACCAGTGTCCCTGTCAGCCGCTGCTCTCTAGAAACAACAATATTCTTAGGATGTGACAGCAGAAATAAATCACAGGCAAGGATTTAGTTTTGTAAGGAATAAAAAGTTTGAGTTAGTCTCTCGCTACTTTGGGGTTCGACTTTCATGGACTCGCTCTATCACGGTTTGTGAACGTACAGTGCATAATATTATGCAAAAAAATTGGCAGAACATGACTGTCAACTTTAATATTACTCACATGATTGGGACAGTAATTGTGTCCCAATCCAGAACAGTACTGTACTCGACAGTAAAAACTTAAACAAAAAACACACTTTGGAAAGGCGCCGCCATTTTGCACTTTTCTCTCCATGAGCCTACACTGTATTCCCGCTCATAATGACTACATTTCCCAGAAGCCAACAGGGCACCACCTAGAAGCCATGTTTCTTTCTGCCGAAAAACTAGAGGAAAAGTTTTGATATGATCGAAAAAGTTTGGCGCTTATTACAGTGACTTTGGTGCTCATTGGATGCAGAGAAGCCGCACAGAACCCACTGAAATGAACCAGAACTGGAGCAGAACCAAACCTCCAGAGCCATCATGGAATTTTGAGAGCTGGTAGCCCGCTCACATGGACCTCTGAGTGGGGACGCACATCGAAGGTCCGGCGGTCCATCCAGAGCCCACCGTTACTTTTTTCATCTTTTTCCACTGGCCGACAAGGACCTTTGAGCGGGACACGCTGGTAAGTCAAATGTAGGAGCTACTGTACATATAAGTATGCTGTTAAAATGAGTAGCTTTAAGAGTTTACAAAATTGATTGTGGGATTTGTTGCTGCAGGGCATGTCTGCAGAAATGGAAACGAGTCAGACCAGAACAGAGTTGGACCAGAACAGAGTTGGACCAGAACGAGAGCCGCTCCTGTTCTGCAGAGCTGATAAGTAAAATTTAGGAGTTACATATACAGTACTGTATGCATGTTGTTAAAATGACATTGGTTTAAGAGTTTAGAACATTGCAAGAGCATGGGAAGATTTTCTAAAGCCTGAAAATATATAAAAATACTAAAATAAATGTTGCTACTTGGCAGATTTTCACTTATGGTGGTGGTGGTGG